GGATCAATTTAAGAGAACTTGCTTTCTGTTTGTATTTGTCTTCTTGAAAATAGGGGGTAAGCCTCGCCAAGGGTGTAAGATTTTCCAAAATGCTGAACACCTCTGGTACAATTGCAAAGAAAAAGCCGTCTTCCCAGCACGTATATGCTAAGGTGCCGTCCTGGGAAACCAGAAGTGTCCCATCAAGGAGGACAACTTTGTGTCCACCTGTGACAGGGTCAATGACGGGCAGAGACCCCTACAGGATTTCACCCACAGCAGTGCCTGGCAGCCCGCTGACAAGTCGTGGGCGACGCGTGACCACTCCCTGTCGCGCGGGGCTGTCCCACGGTGCGGGACACGCAGCATCACTGGGGCAAACGAGAACGCCCCAGCGTGTCCGGACGCCACCGGACGCCCCTCGGGTGCGGACACCGAGCGGCCTGGCCCTTGCCCAGAGTTGCAGGAGACAGACGCCTCGGCAGCTCCGTCCGCCTGCCCGGGAGCGGCCCCCGCGCCACCGAGTCAATGTGCCCCTCTGTCTCTCGCAGCGGACCCCGCAGCGCCCGCGACGCTTCATTAGGCCCCGCGAGGAGAGCCGTTCCTCCAGTGTGCCACAAGGGGGCGCCCTGGGACGCCGAATCGGCCCGTGTGCCGTTTGTGAAATGTGGAAAAGTCTGCAGATGGGGACGTGGAGGCAGGTTGAAAACACAGGGTGGGAAAGAACTTGTTGGGCTTACACTGTGCTAAACTGTCTGATCTTTGGCATTGCTGTCCAGCTTTCCAGAGTCCCCGGCAAGTATGCACAGTTTGTCAATGGCTTCTCCGGTCCTCCCAAACAATACAATTTCCACATGCAGACAGCAATTTTAATGGCCTCCCAGAAACACCAGTGGAAACAGGTTGGCCAGTTCTTGCCTCCTGCCACACCCACCACACTTCTCTAGAAATAATAATAACAGCATTCTGGGAGCCCACGTGTCATTGCTCTGGCCATCTTACATGAATGCATTTATTTTCTCTTCACCAATAATAGCACTGTGCCGGTGATAAACAGGATGGATGAGGAAACTGAGGCACAGAGAGCTATGGTAACTTGCCCAAGAGTACACTGCGAGCAAATGGCCCGGAACCACCGAACTGTGGAAGGTTCAAGACAGCAGGGCGAGGGGCCCCGCCTGTTGGAAGGAGGTGCTTTGGGACGACTTAGCCATTCCTGTACTTCAGGAATGCATGCATCCAGCTTGTTTGTTCAAAATCTACCAGGGGCAGGAGGATGGTGAAATAAAAAAAACACCAAAAGGGGCGCCGGGGTGGTGTAGTCAGTTGAGCGTCCGACTTCAGCCAGGTCACGATCTCGCGGTCCGGGAGTTCGAGCCCCGCGTCAGGCTCTGGGCTGATGGCTCAGAGCCTGGAGCCTGTTTCCGATTCTGTGTCTCCCTCTCTCTCTGCTCCTCCCCCATTCATGCTCTGTCTCTCTCTGTCCCAAAAATAAATAAACGTTGAAAAAAAAATTAAAAAAAAAAAAAAAACACCAACAAGAAAAAAGAAACCCTATGAAATATTTTTACATGCAGCTTTGGGGCTTGTTTCATTCCTGAGTTCATCCGGAGCATCACAGGAGGTGGGTCTGGCTGCCTCGAGTGTAGCTACAAATGGCTGTGAGACCCAGGACAGGACAAAATTGAGCCTGAGTTTTCAACCCTTGGCTGAGTACTAGGGTCCCTGCAGGAATTAAAAATGAAACAGGTACCTGGGTCGGCCCCAGGCCACCTGAATCAGAATCTCTGGAAGTGGGGCCCAGGTACCCGCTGTTGGGGGTTTGCTTAACCTCCCCAGGTGATTCTGAGGTTCAATCCACATTGAGAACCAAACTCCTTTTTGTATAGCTGAGGAAAGGCCCGGAGAGGCTCCATGATGTGCCAGAGGCTGAAGGTTCAGGCAGTGGGGGGAGTCAAGTATCCTGATTTCTATTCCAGAACCCATCAAAAGCTTTACTGCTGCCCCAGACTGGGACGGCTCCACAAGGGGACAGACAGCAGGGCATGAGGACGCTTGGGGGGTGCGGCACACTCGGAGCCTCTTCTCTGCTTCCCCCCGTCTGAGCTGGAGGGAAGCTCCCACCTCCTGCTTCCCGGCAAGGTCCTGTGGTCAGTGGTCAGGACTCCTACCACTGCAGACTCAGCCCCGGCCTCCCTCTGGCCCTGAGGAGAACCATCCGCTCCCCACCACCTCTGCCCCACTGTTTTCCCGACATTCATCATGTGGTTGGGTCTCCAGATAAAACACTGGATACCCAGTTAAATTTGGATTCCAGATAAACTACCAGTTGTTCTGTAGTATAAGTATGTCCCACACAACATGTTTAGGTTTATTTGTTTATTTGCAGAATCCAGCAGTCCTACCCGAAAGAACACAGTGCATCTGGGGTCAGTCACATAGCCAGGAGCGGGAGCAAGCAGCTTGCCCAGACCGCACAGCCCCTGGCCGCCAGCCAGTGCTCTTTCCCCAGCATCATTCAGCCCAGACAGAAGTGATTATACTTTAATTGAATAAAGAGTTCTAGTTTGGGGGAAAATATAATTAAGAGAAATGTCCGCTTGATTATTTTGTTCCTTTATCCCTGGCCATCGACGCATGACAGTTTGGACCCTGGGCTGTAGCTCATTCATTGGATGGAGGTTCGTGAAGCACCAGATAGGCTAGGTGTGACGATGCTTTACCCAAATAGTGTCACCCCCTGATGGCCGCCAGCAGCCTAAGGCAGCCAGGCCTCCAGCCTGGGCTGTGCCAGCAGCCTGGGGCTGGTGTTACCCGGCTCTCAGACACCCAGGGCTTCAGCCTTTCTGGGATGGCAGGGTTCCCAGCCTTGGAGGACCGATTGAGATTAGGAAACCAAATGCTTCTGGGAACTGAAACCGGTAAATTTGGGAGAGAGTCTGTTCCTCTGGCAAATCTGCTGAACTCTATCTTCCATCACCTTAGAATCTATTGTGATTTTGATCTGAGCCTCAGGAAGTGTGGGGGTTTTTTAATTTAATTTTTTTTAAGTTTATTTATTTGTGTTGAAAGAGAGAAAGCATGAGAAGCCCCTGAGAAGGGGCAGAGAGAGAGAGAGAGAGAAAGAATCCCAAGCAAGCTCTGCACTGTCAGCACAGAGCCCAATGCAGGACTCGATCCCACAAACTGTGAGATCATGACCAGAACCGAAATCCAGAGTTGGACGCTTAACCGACGGAGACACCCAGGTGCCCCAGGAAGCACGTTTTTTTTTTTTTTAATTTTTTTTTTAACATTTATTTATTTTTGAGACAGAGAGAGACAGAGCATGAACGGGGGAGGGGCAGAGAGAGAGGGAGACACAGAATCGGAAGCAGGCTCCAGGCTCCGAGCCATCAGCCCAGAGCCTGACACGGGGCTCGAACTCACGGACCGCGAGATCGTGACCTGGCTGAAGTCGGACGCTTAACCGATTGCACCACCCAGGCGCCCCGGAAGCACGTTTTTTTAAAAGGGCATCCCTGGACATGAAGGAGGAATTCCACTTCCTTGTCTGCAACTGACCTCTTGCTCTTCCCGTCCCCCAAATCTGTTCCTGTCCTTGGTTAATGGTTTCGCTGTCCTCCCCGCCACCCAGGAGAGAAAGCTGGGAGTCACTCCACTCATATGCCCCGTCGTCTGATCTCTCCCACCAGACCTCAAGTGAGTTCCTGGAGGGCCTGCCATAAGTCAGATTCATTTCTCCCTCCCCCACCGAGCGGTTCTCTCAGACCCATCCGCACTACACACAGAGAACCAGGTAAGACGCTGCACTGTGGTTCCCTGGGCTGGGAATGGGGGAGGGAGAAATGGCGAGAGGGGTATTCATGGGCATCCACCAACTGGTAGGCTGTGGAGATCAAGGCCGAGCAGACACTGGAGAACACGCTCGGCCCCTGGCCTTGGCAATCTGCTCCATGGGAATCCGGGAAGAACTGGGGACAGGGGTTTGGTCTACACGTGTTTGTGGCTGCATGATTGTACATGGGAAGTATGATATCTCATCAGGGGGCCAGAAGGACGGGAGCCTGGGATGAAGATTTGGGTCATCATGCATCGGACCCCAGGGACATGCATGAGACTCCTCAGGGAGGTTGACCATCAGGGCAGCAGCGTGGAAGAGGTGGCCGGGGGGCTGAAGAGTGGCCAGGGCTATAAGCAAACCAGAGAAGCACTGCAGTGAGCAAGTGGCCCACGGCGTCAGATGCCATCAGAAAGCTAAGAACCTAAGCACGTCCGTGCCAGGCCACCCAGTTCATGCCCCCTCCTCCCTTCCTCCTCGAGGAGCAGCCCCGTCGTCTGCTGGACGTGAGGGGCAGCGGGCTTGGTGTGGGGAGAGCCAGACAGCTCGTGTCTGCTCTCCTGAGGCACCATTCATCCTGGTTTCTCCCGGCCATGCTGCCAGAGGTGGCCCCTAATGACACAAGTGCCCCGCACAGCAGTCACACCTCTGCCCCTAAACCTTCCGGTCACTCCCGCTTCTATCACCTCCTTTGTTTTCCTCAGTGTCAATGAAAAACAAATTTCCAGGGAGAGAGATGGAAAGGGACATCTGGCCTTGGGACATCTGGATGTCCAAAGAGGGTAGCTTCTGTGCCGTGGACGTGGACTGGAGGTTCTGGAACCTCAGGGCAGGATGAGAGTGAGATGGGTATTAGAGGATCAAGAAACACCAGGGAGAATGTTCTTTTATTCTCCAGACCGTGGTGCAGCTTTAACGGCTGCTTTGCAAAGCTTGAGGAAGGCCGAGGCAGGTCTCGGTAGGTGGCTCAGCCTCTGAGCTGGGGTGGTAATCATGGAATAGGAGGAGGAGGACGAGGGGACCCTGGCTGGTGGAGCTGGCCGCGTGGCCTCCTCTCCCTTGGAGATGTAGCTCCGTCCCTCTGAAAAAGCAAAGCACCAGCTCCCCCTCCGCCCCCACCTCCCGCCTGGTCAGGCCCCGGGGGTCATCCATGCAGGCTCCCGGCTCGGTGACCCTATACTTAGTCTCCCCCGGGCCGAGCCTCAATAGACACAGTGAGCCTCACGGAGCCGCAGCTCGACCTCAGGTCCCACTCCTGACTGGCATTGTGGGTCAGTCCCGGGGAGCCCGACCCCTGCCTCGGGGACAGCTGGATGTTCAGCCAGCGACACCGGGTCTCGTCGCAAGCGAGCACCACGGTGCCCTCGGGGTTGCTGTAGGTGCACCGGCTCCCGGCTGCCCTCTCCTCCGCTACCAGATCCCAGCTTTCCCCGGGCTCCCTGTCCTCCATCCTCGGGGCCTGGATGCCCAAGCCGTCCCGGGTGACGGGACACACCAGCTGTTCCTCCTTTAGGGCGGGCAACACCTGGCCCTTCAGGTAGGCGGGGCCCGCACAGTAGGTCTGGATGTTGAAGAGCCGGTCGCTGTACTGGTTCAGCCAGCTGAAGAGGTAAGCCAGGTGGCAGTCGCACTGCCAGGGGTTGCCGTGTAGGGCCAGGTTGAACAGGTTGTAGTTGGTGTCAAAGATGCCCTCGGGGAGCGTGGTCAGCAGGTTCCTGGAGAGACTGAGCAGCTCAAGCTTGGACAGGTTCTGGAAGACGGCTGGGTGCAAGGCTGTCAGGTTGTTGCTGCCCAGGTAGAGCTTGACCAGCCCCTCCAGGTCTCTGAAGATGCCGGCGGGGAGACAGGCGATGGCGTTGTGCGAGAGCGTGAGGGAACTGAGGCTGGACAGGTTGGCAAAGGTGCCCTCGCCGACAGCCTCCAGCTGGTTGTAGGACAGAGACAGGCTGACCAGGGCGGGGGTGTGAGCGAAGAGGCCGGCGGGCAGCGTCCGCAGCGCGTTCCCCTGCAAGTTCAGGAAGGTCAGGCGGCCCAGGGAGGAGAAGACGGAGCCGGGCAGGTGCCTGATGGTGTTGTGCTGCAGCCACAGCTTCTCCAGACAGAAGAGCCCCGAAAACACCGTGGGTGGCAGCTCGGAGATGGAGTTGCCGTCCAGGAAGAGCTCCCGGAGGCAGCCCAGTTTGTCAAACACGCCCTGGGGCAGGCTGGAGAGCGCGTTGCTGCTGAGCCTCAGGGTCTGCAGGCTGCTGAGGGGGTCGAACAGCTCCTCGGGCAGCTGGGCCAGTAGGTTCTGAGCAAGGTTGAGGGTCTTCAGACGGGCCAGGGGCCGGAAGAGCCTCCCGGGCAGGCTCTGGAGCCGGTTGCCTTGCAGCTGGAGAGACTCCAGGGCGCCCATTTGGTGGAAGAGGCCATCGGGCAGGGCCTCCAGCATGTTGAAGTTGAGGGTGAACTTGCCCAGCGAGGTCAGGTTGGAGAAGGTGTCGGTGCTGAGGTTGGAGAAGGTGCTGCCAGTGATCTCCAGGTCCTGGAGCCTGGGCAGCCCCCCGAAGGCGTCCGGCCCCAAGTGGCGGAGCTGCGTGTTGAGGAAGACCACCTTGGTCAGGTTGGGGCTGCCGCTGAAGGCCCCAGCTCCCACCGTGGCGAATGAGGTCTCTACGAAGATGACATCTGTGGCGTGTGGTGGGAGGTCTGGCGGGATGGCAGTCAGCCCCTCATCGGAGCAGAACACCTCCCCGATGAAGCAGTCACACCCCTCCGGGCAGGGCTGGGCGTGCCTGGCCAGGAGCAGGAGGCAGGCCCAGGGTAGCCAGGCTCTGGGCAGCATCTCCTGACCCCAGTGGGAAGAGAAAACAGAAGCGATGCCTTAAGGGTAGTGCAGCACGGTGGCCAGCGCACCGCTGGGTCAGCCAGAAGACCCGGGGGGTGGGAGGGACAGGGACGGGGATCAGCTGTCAGGGAGGCCACCCGTTGGGGCAGCCGTTTGTGTTTTCAGGGGTTGTTCCCATACTGCCTCCGGCAGCCTCGTGAGGTCAGCAGGACCAGCATTCTGACCTCCTGACACTGTGGGTGTCATGTGGCCTGTGCCCAGTCACCCTGCAGGTTAGTGGCAGGACAGCGACCCAGGCCTCTGGGACTTCCCATGCTCTTTCCAGATGAGAGAAAGGGCGGAAATGGGATAAAAAGGCATGAAAGACAGGGTGTAAGGAGAGCGTGGGTATTTTTGCCCATGGAATTTTTTAAGGTCATGGGTCAAATATGGGCAGATTATTAGTGAGTTGGAAATCTTTAAACCGTAACTCTTCCTGAGCTTTCAGACCTCAGCACGTTTCGGACCCTAATTATGAGGAGATTTCAGCATCTGCTCCTGTGCATCCGCTGAGGGTGAGAGCAGCAGAAGGGACAAGACAGGTTCTTACCTCGAATGATCCCTGCTCCTCACTACGGCTGCCCAGTGCTCTCCTGCCCACCTGCCTGTGCCCCCCACCTCGGAGCCCCTGGAACTCTCCAACATCGTGTGGACAAAGAGGGTCCCAGCTGCAGGGATTCCACAGACCAGTAGGTTTCTGTTTTCAAGGGAAGAAGACTGAGTTTTTAGTTAACTAAAAAAAAATTTTAAATGCCAGCATCCAACCACAGGATTGGATTGGCGCTGCGGGTCATAAGTGTGTTTTATGGTTCAGTCTGTTTTGTATGTGATCAGCCAACATGTAAACATGGAGGAATCTCACATTAAAAGTCCAGATTTCAGGGGGCCCCCGGCTGGCTCAGTCGGTTAAGCGTCTGACTTCAGCCCGGGTTGTGATCTCGCAGTTCGTGGGTTCGAGCCCCGCGTCAGGCTCTGTGCTGACAGCTCAGAGCCTGGAGCCTGCTTCAGGTTCTGTGTCTCCCTCTCTCTCTCTGCCCCTCCCCTGCTCACGCTCTTTCTCTCCTTCAAAAATAAATAAACATTAAAAAAGATTTTTTTTTTTGAAGTCCAGATTTCAGGATGATTTAGGGGCTGTGGGCTCACATTGCCACATGACAAGACCGACTGGGGCTTTGTTGCCCCATTAGGGGGTGTGCAACCCGCCCCCCTCCCTTGCACGCATCGTTTCTGTGGCTTGTAGTGGCCCAAGCTCCGTGAGTTTGAATACAAGCTCCATCACATTCTAGCTGTGGGACCGTGGGCGTCTTACTTCATCTGTAGTGCCTACCATGTCAGGGGAATTGCGAGGACTCAATGACAACAAATAAGCAAAAGTTTTAGGCCAGTGTCTAACATGGAATGAGAAATTAATAAAGTGTGTTAATTATGGTTCAAGGTTGCAAGCCACCTTGCATCGTTACTCATCATTACATCGTTACTCTTTTAAACACCGAAAGAGTGGGAAGAGCAGAATGTCCTTTAGACAGAATACGTTTGACTTTAGCAAAAAAGACAGAAAAGAAGTTAGGAAGGGAGAGAGGAAGGAAGAAAAGAGACAAGGGAAAAGGAAGAAATACAGAAACAACCTGTCCCCAGTAAGCACTCACAATTGGCTTGGTTTTGGAGAATCTGGACCCCACAGGTCTCTTTGCTGGCTGCTTCTCTGCTGCCCTCTGCTGGCTGCCTCTTCCATCCCAAGATTCTACTTCTGGCCAAAGGGCTCCGTTTGCAAACACAGTGCTTACAAAAGCCCCCTATACCCTCCCCCCATTCAGACACTCAATAACTCAGTTTTTCCAGGAACTTTTCTGCCGAATCAATAGAGAAGGGACCATTTGTCCCACAGAAAGTGCATACCTCCCTTGAGGCTCCCCTGATGCTTGCAGAGACACTGAGTCAGCTACAGGAGGTGGCCGGGAAGGACACATAGTAACTGCGCCTGCCTGCCACTCAGGCACAGGCGGGAAAGTAACAAGCATCAGACAAGCATGTGCCCCCTGGTGCTACAAGGCTTAGACCAGCGGTTACAGAGTTCAGCTTGAGCACAAGACTCTTGAGGTCGTACGTATAGTATACAGATAAGAAGCAGAGGTTCTGGAGAAGGATGAGGCAGCCACTGCCCCACCCCCACCCAGGCTGCCCCTAGGGATCCTGACAGAAGACTTCCTTGAGCCCAGAAATGAGGTGCCTGGTGGTTGCTTCTCCATCTTGACAGCTAGCTGGGCCCTCCAGAACGGTGGCCTTTCATGGCTGTCCTTTTTTGTGAGATGAGGCTGCTCATCTCTGTGCTCAGCGTCCAGCACAGTGCGGACTTACCGTGGACTTGGTTAGGGTTTGTGGCCCCAAACGCTTCATCGCTGGTATGAGCAGCGTGGGAGGTAGATTTGCCCTTCCCTAGCATGGTTCGAGCCCAAGTGAATGACCATCAGCCAGGCCGTGAGAGCAGACTCGAATGCTTCTCCTCCAGAGAGTAAGAGAGGAGAACAATTTTTATGTTAAACATGCCATAATGCATAAAAACGCATACTGCGCCAGTATCCTTCCTCGCAAACCCCTTTAGTCTTTGGTTCTCAAAGGCAGTTTCCAGAAAGACTTCCACTAGTATGGACATGAAGGCCCTGGAGTGAATATATACAAGGGACCTCACGTGCTGTCTGTCCCCAGATCCCTAAGGGCATGCACTTCCGTGACATAATCAGCATAGTGAAAATGGACCTGGGAAGGCAGCCCACATGAGCCCTGGCCCCTGGGTACCTGAAGCATGATTTCAAATGTGGGCCCTGGGGGGCCTGGGGGGCTCAGTCGGTTACGTATCCAACTGTTGATTTCGGCTCAGGTCATGATCTCGTGGTCATGAGATCGAGCCCAGCATCAGGCTCTATGCTGGGCATGGAGCCTGTCTGAGATTCTCTCTCCCTCTGCCCTTCATCTGCTTTCACGCACACTCTCTCCCCTCCCTTTCTAAAAAATAAAAAATAATAATAAAATATAAAATAAAATAAAATAAAATAAAATAAAATAAAATAGGGGCATAGCCTCCGGATGGCTATGTCCCTGTGGTTTTGCAAACTTCTCACCCCTTGGAGGTGTCGTGGTGGGAAGAGGGCAAGAACAGGGCCTCTGAAGTTCAGGAAAGAAAGAGCCCCGGTCTGGGGGGGTTGGAGGAAGCAGGGGATGGCACTCACAGTGAGGGTGTGGAACACTGACCACTTCCAAACGATCCACTCTCAGCCCGAGACTCATTGTCACCACTCTAGAATGGCTAAGAGTTTGTGCTCTGGAGTCAGACAGCATGGGTTCAAATCCTGTCTCCATCCCTCATTAGCTGTGTGGCCTTGGCTGAATTACTTAACCTCTCTGTGCTTCAAGGTCCTAATCTTCAAAACAGCAAGCTTCAATACTACCTTCCTCATGGAGTTGTTCTGAGGATTGAATGAGAAAATGTGTTGAAAGCTACAAACCCAGAGCCCTGCCCACAGTGAGTGTTCAGCAACAGAGCATTAATGACCCTGATTATTCTGAGTTCAGGCCAGTCCCAGCTTTGTTCTGAAGTCATCACAGAAGTTAGCTATGGAAAACCTGATGAGATCGTCCAACCACCCCATTTATGGACCAGCGAGATGCCTCTCTGTAGCACTTTTTCTGGCTCTTTCCTCCCAGCCAAGGGAAACATGTAATTGCTTTGCCCTTGGTTTAGAAGAGCACAGATTTTGATGGCTCTGGCTAGGATGCCCTGGACTTGGGCCCCTTCCTCAACCACCCTTAAGAGCAGGTCACTGGGGGCTCTGGAGATGGGAAGTGCCCCTGCCTAGGCACCATGGAGCCTGGTACCAGAAGGGACTGTGGGGCGGCAGCCAGAAGATTCCTGCTTCTCATCCGAGAAACCACCTCTGCATTGATGCAGAGACCAGCCAATGCCCGCAAAAACTGTTCCATGCCTTTAGCAAGCCAAGGAAGTCTGGCTTTGGCGGGGGCAGGGAGGGCGGTTCACTGCTTGCAGATGAACTTTTTCCTCTTCTCAAGTTGCTTTTGGGTTGATACATTTCTGTGTGTGCCACAAGCCAGTCTCTCATCCACCACAAAGCCAACCCTCACTCCTTCCAGAGGGCGACGGGAGCCCAGAGCCCCAGCCCCAAACCCCCAGCGGACTGCTGCTATACTCAGAGATGTCGACACTGCCGTCTGCACGGCCAACAGGGCTGCCTTCTGCCTCTTGGGCCCAGGGCATCCGAGAGCAGCAAGAGCGGCTTCAGAGGTTGGAGCCACCGACTTCTTCATCCCGGTCCCCGGGGAACGCCTGCCACTGCCTGGATCCCAGCCTCCTTTCCTGGGCTCCTGCCTCCACCCCAGCCAGCCGGCCCTCCCCACCCTGCTGCCCACTGTGTCCCAGGCAGGGGAGTGGCCCCTCGGGGACAGTTTCTGCACTCGTAAATTGAGAACAGTCACGATAGTAACACTACTCCCTAAATTAAGGCTTTGTTACAGTTAGTGCGGTAATCACGTAAGAGAACTGGTAATGACGTAAGATAAGTGACATGGTGATATAAGAAATATACATTTGTGGTTCGAGCCCTGGGTCGGCTTCTGTGCTGACAGCTCTGAACCTGGAGCCTGCTTCAGATGCCGTGTCTCTGTCTCTCTCTGCCCCTTCCCCACTTGTGTTTCTTTCTCTCTCTCTCTCTCTCAAAAAAAAAAATACACTTAAAAAAATTGGGGGCACCTGGGTGGCTCAGTCAGTTGAGCGTCTGACTTCAGCTCAGGTCATGATCTCATGGGTTTGTGAGTTCAAGCCCTGTGTCAGGCTCTGTGCTAACAACTCAGAGCCGGGAGCCTGCTTCGATCGGTTCGTGCTCCCCTCTCTCTGCCCCCTGCCACCTCTCTCTCTCTCTCTCTCTCTCAAAAATAAATAAAAATTAAAA